GGTTCCGCGCCGTGAAAAGCTGGTGCGCCGGCACCTTCGCCGGTTCTGCCTCTCGTGACAGCCGCCGAGATTTGAGAAACAGCATCTCTCTTCTCCTAACTTGAACGGAGGTGATTTTACCTCTCCAAAATCAGCATTTCGAAGAGGCCATTATCAGAGCTTAAGAATCAAATTAGTCTAACCTATTCGCAGATTTTAAAAATGTATCTGCTTCACCCGTCTGTACCCTGTGGATTTACAAGACTGAACAGCACAAATTTTCGGTTTAGTTACCTTGCTGAGGAGTTTGAGGTTATGATCTCTGGGCAAACACTGTATACTGTCATGAATTAAGTAGCCAAGAATGATTTCAAACTCATCATTGTAATTTATGATTAATAATTAGCTCCTGTATTGTGCAGAATCAATGTCATCAAGCTTCTCTTCATGCTTTATGTTCCTTCTCCTTTTTCAGTTCTTGGCTGCCCCAGACGGTTCCATTCCGAGGGAGTCACTGGCAGAGTTCACTGCTGGCGTTCAAGGTATCTCTCCCCATGAGGTCAGTGCAACTTCCATGGAGTTACATAGGAGTGTTTTCATCCTTAGGGGAACACAGATTTTCCCAAGTCCAAATTAACTTTTAACTATAGATGTTTGCTTTTAAGTCACTATATGTAAAAGTAGTTAAGAGCTGTTAGCCTCTTGAGGAGAGTTTAATGGTAACCTATACAATTACTGCTTGATGCTTGTGTGTAGTTGTATGTGCTCCCTCAGCCACAGAATGTGGTTGGAGATGCTTGCATTTATGCTATGCTCCAGAATTCCCTTTTGAAGAATAATGCAAATGAAAGCCTAGCTGAACTGAAAATAGCTTACTATTAAGCAGTATACTAGACAGCCTGCATTTATATATATGCTGCATTTTGGTATCCATTTTTTGTTTTGATGCAACTAGATTTAAAATCTCCTAGTGGCTATCAGGTACCATTGGAGAGACTGTTTCACACCATACAGGTTGTTTGTTCAGTCTGCAAGACAGGAATGATACTCCACAGGTCCACTGCGAGGATTAGTTTGTGTTTGTGGAGCATGCTGTATGTTATCTTGGCTATACCGGATCTGTATGGAGAAGTACAACAGGAGAGTAACATCTGCAGCCTGAATTTGGTTCCAAATGTGGAAATTTTAGAAGCATGTATAACACCACTCTCCTTTAATGTGAGATGACAGGAATATTTGCAGATAAACCTATTACCTGCTCTGCTGCACTCTGAGCTAGTGCAAAACAATTCCAACTCAATTTTTGTGGAGCTTCCTCAGGTCACTCTGATGTTCAGCACAAAATTGGAGGTTGCTTTTCTCAGGCAGGTGCAGTTCTCTCTGCAGAAAATGTCACAAGACATATTACTGTCTCCTGGAAATGGCAATATTTGAATCAATTTAATGGCTGGAAGTTCTATTAAGGAGCAAATTAAGCAATGGGAAGGAACAGTCCTTAGAAAAGTAAAGTGGAAGTGAAAGTTGCTGGTGTTGAATTAAATGACAAAATATCTTCTTTTATTCACATCATCATTTCTCTTGTAGAGCACAACCAAAGAAGAAGAAGAAAGTGGATGTAAAGAGAGAGCAAGCACAGAAGGATCGTATGAAAAAGAAGATTAAAAAGTTGGAAAAAGCTGCCCCAGAAATGATTCCAATTGAAGATTTTATAACACCACTTAAGTACTCAGATAGCAACAGGTAAGTAAGACTGTCTTTCACCATGTGTTTGCATTCATAGGAGAAACACTTCTAAGTTCTTTCTCTGCAAAACTGCAATATAGTGCCAGCCCTGGTACAAAACCTTACTGCTACCAAGACAAAAATGTAGAAAGCAAATTTTATTTGCTTCTGCTAAAAGTAGAAAAAAAATAGTAACATGAATTTCTTGTTAGAATGACTTGAAAACCTCACAGACATTGCATGAATGAAATGTATTCTTTGGGTTTGGCGAGGGGGTGGTGGTTGTTGTTTTGTTATGTTTTTTTCTTTAAAAAAAAAAATTGCTCTTTGAGATGCAGGCTATTTCTCTATTACAGTGTTATTTTATTCTTTATCAGGGTGCGAAGTCTTCCCACTCTGCCATTTGAGGAGACTGAAAGAAGAGTTTTACTTATGAAAAAGTGGTGTTTGTTTAAGCAGAAACAAGATAAGGCAGAAAAGAAAGCAATTCAGACTCTTGTAGAGGCTCAGCAAGAGGCACTAAAGGAACTGCGCCTTGAATCCGAGGAATTGTATCAGGCAGCAATCAGGCGAGATGAGGGGCTTTTCCCCTTTGAGAGAGATGGACCTAATTATACCCCACCACTTCCTGGTTACGATCCTCCTGAAGGAAAATGCGTTGATATCACCAAAGTGTATACACAGTGATGGAGGAGTTTGTTTATCTGGCATGAGCTACTCAGCCAACTGAAGGAGGAAAGAATGGAATAATAATAAACAATTCCTTCTGCGGGTTAAAATACTGTAGGTGCGTGAGTGTAAAAACACATACTAACGAAGTACTAGTTTGTTTGGGTTTTTTAAATGGCTGTCTAGGTGGTAAGACACATAAAACTACACTACTTGACACTCGTGCCATGCTAGAACAAGACAAAGTAGTATTTCACAGAGTATTTTCTTTCTAGGCTTAAATCTCTTATCCTTCCATACACTCCTGAGCAGCATTTTTTTGTTCTGCATAAACCATAACTTGGAAGATTCCTACACTACGAGGAAAGAATGTCCTAGTACAGACTCTGCTGTGATGACTGTAAGGGAGGCAGCAGCTGACTCTCTACTACCTTTCTTTTCAGACTTAGTGAAGTACTTTTGCATCTAAGAGGGAAACAGATGGAAAACATACTGTGACAAAGCCAAAATTGTGGGTTTTTTTCTATATTACCATGTAACTATTGTAACTTAAGTTTCTAAAGGTTTGCCCTAAAACAAAACAGATCTCTCGCCATTCATTTAAACATTTATTTTTGTAATATTTTTGAATACTGCCATCAACACACACCACTATTAGAGAACGGTTCCACAACAGGGCAGCGTTGCAGTTTCAGGGTCTGCAACATCATCCAACCAGGTGAGAAGCTCTTAACCCATGACAATCGTGAATCTGGGAAGTGCCTTTTAAATGCCAGTGGTTGTGATTGTCCTGGACTGGCAGGGAGGAGTCCCAGCTTGCTTTTGTTTTTCCATCTGGCAGGCCTGGGGTGAGTACCTTGTTCCAAAAGTGCACCGAACGGCTGGTAGGGGAAGAGGTTCTTGTCTAGCAAGAGGAGCTAGATCACGTATGCACTAATTTGGGAGTTGCCTGCTGAGTTGCTGAGATGAAATCCTGAAGTGTTAAGATAGTAGTAAGAGACCAGAATGAAATGAAGCACCTCAATTCTCCCTTTAAAAAATACTGGGTGGTAAATAAACTCAGTATTTTTGAAAAAGTACTGAAGTATTGCAGGGCAGAACTACGGTTGTATAATTTCAAGATGACATGGAAGAAAAAAAAAAAATCAGCATAGTTCTGCATTGTGTATTACATTACTGACCAAACACAGCAAAACAATCTTGCTAATTTGGTTTGTCTTGGTCAAGTGGAAGATACCAGTCAGGTGGTGGGTTCTTCCTGAGCATCCACACTGGAGTATATTTCTGTTTTTCCATAACTCGAGCTCTTTCACTCTTGCACAAAGCTTCCTGAAATACAGGGAAAAAATATTACCATGATAGCGTTGGATGTTCCAGTCTTACAGACCTTGTTTCATGCTATGGCTATTTGAGATAAAATGAGGAACGGAAGTTTATCATGCTTAAACAGAAGTGCCAAGTAAGCCAGGATACAAGCTTTTAACTACGTCACATTTATATTTTGCGTCCCACTCCTCCATTATGAAAAAACCTACCACTTATGTGCTACCCTCCCCGCCAGAAGTTGTCCTGAAGTCGGCTGAAAGGATGAGTTACGCTGCAGCCTGTGCTGAAGGGCTCTTGTCTTTCAGTGTTCATGGGGCTGTAGCCAGGAGCGTTTCTGGACACCCCAGGAATACTTTTTACCTGTAACGTGGCAGCTTTTTGTATCAGGAAGGGAATATTAGAGTAACTGAACGCCTGCTTTTCCAACCCCTCCCCGTTCTGTGACCGCCGACACCGCTCTCCCGCAGGCAGCTGCGGGGTTTCTCTCCCACCAGCCCCGGGCACGATGACCGCAGCGGGCCGGGCGGGACAGCGACCACGGCTACGGGTGCCGCTCACTGCCGAGGCGGGAAGGGGCCGGC